TGAAAATGTGCTCCCACTGAAGCGTAGAGAGACTGCAGCATAGTGAACAAGCCTGTGCACCACCTGCAGTTGTGTGTGTATGTGTGTGTACAAGAGAAATAATGACCCAGGACACAATGATTCAACACCCTGTTCCTCTCCTCTTCTGTCATCATCCTTTTTTCTCTTCTCACTCCTTCTCTCCCTTCGACCCAGTTCTCCACACACACTACAGTTGTCATACTCTGTGTCTGCCTTGTGTCAGCCTCACATTGTGGTGACTGCTGCACGTTTGTGTGTGTGTGTATATTGCGTATGCTGGTGTGTGTGTTCGCCAGTAGTGTCTGCTCAGTATTCTCAAACACGTTCTCCCCTCCTGCCTCTCTTCCTTATGTGACTCGCTGCCTTCCTTTTGTCATTCTTCTTCTCTCCTAATTCCTCTTATCGTCTATATTGACTCCTCCGTTCACTCTTTTTGTCCATTCTGTCGCTTCACCACCTCTCCCAGTGATCACTACTTGATGCGCATTTCATTTGGACACACATCAGCTGCTTCTCTTTAGTGCCACTGGCCTCAGTTCTGAAATATAAACACAGACGGAATGCACTCAATCTGTTATTCTCAATAGAAACATCTTCTGTTTTCCATCCTTTTCCCTCTCTCTTCCAACCATTCTGTTCCCAGTCATTTCTCCCCCCTCCTCACTCTTTTACTCCCCTCCTCCCACTGGCTGAGTAAGTGCTGCAGCATCAGTGTATGTGTGTATGTGTCAGAAAGCAGCACGGAGCAAGAGAGAGGGAGATGAGTGTGTGTGAGAGGAGTGTGTGAGCGTGAAGCACCGGGGATCCTGAGCCTGGAGGGCCATGTGATGAGAAAGGGGCTCTTCTGCCTGTGGATGTATGTGCCAGGACCAGCTTCTTTTTTTTTTTTTTGCAGGCGAGTGTAAGTGTGCTTGAATGTGTGTGTAAGAGACAGTGAGTGTGGGCATGCCAACGTGTGTGTGTATGTGTAACAGTGTCGTCGATCAGCACCGGGCTCTTCGCATTATGCAGCCGACGGTGCTCATCACACTTTGAGGACTGACTCATCTAGACTTGGCTGTGGAGACAGAAGAGACCAAAGAAAGAGAAAGATAGATGGATGGAAAGACAGAAAGACAGTTTTAGGGACTTCATTCTCTGGGTCCCTATAGACCATCCAAGGGTCTAGCCCGTTTGTGGGATGCCAGTAGCTTCACACTGGCCCCCCTTGCTCCCCCGCAAATAGGAATTGCAGACACACAACCAGACAGCTAGCCAAAATTGCCATAAAAAAGATACCCCAAAAGGAGAATAAATACCCAGTCAGCATTTAACTTGAAGGGAGGTTTACTTCAGGGCAAGAACAAGAGGGTCCTCTGTCTTCGCTGGGTCTTTTTCGCTTGACATCATTTTTTGGGGGGGGTTGCAGGATCCTATCCCGGAGGCTACGGGGGAGATAAGAGGCTGGCAGACGAGACGGGACAGATGCAGGCATGGCTCGCCTCAACTGGTGCCTGGCTGCTGTCATCAGCTGGGGCAAGTTCCTCTTTGCCTGCTTCTTTCCTCTGCGGGGGGCCCCCGGGGGCTACGGGGGAGATAAGAGGCGGGCAGACGAGACGGGACAGATGCAGGCATGGCTCGCCTCAACTGGTGCCTGGCTGCTGTCATCAGCTGGGGCAAGTTCCTCTTTGCCTGCTTCTTTCCTCTGCGGGGGGCCAAGCGAGACAAGGTAAGACTTCATGAAGTGGATGTAGGGGTTGCTGGGAATGGGAGACTGAGAAAGCATTCAGTGGACTTAGAGGATGACTTCTGCACATGGCATCCTTCATGTCTCACTTCAGCTCATGCAGCTGACTTTCTTCTTCAATAATTGCCCTAAAATATATCTGGAATACTCATCCTGCATGCAGTATACATCAAGATTGTTCTCAATCATACCATTGAACCATTACATCCATACAGCCAGCCTTAAACCACCAAATGACGTAGCTGTGAAAATGAGCTGGGTGACTGGTCATGGACCATGGACTCTGGAAAACTGGTTGATGTCTCTCTAAGTACTGATTCAAGGTCAGTGTTATATTCCAAATGGTCTCCAGGCAGCTTCTCCAGATAAGGATGGTGGGGAACCATGGGTATCATATTTTAGACCTGATCATGGCACTAGCAGCAACCACCTGGAGCAAAATATAATTTCTCCTGATACATCGGGTCACCTTGCTTTCACAACTGCAGAATTGTAATGCACCATTATTTGGGGTTTGCGTATTCTCAAATCAAAGCTCTTAATTTTTCCCTATTCAACTCCTGCCACTGCATGTCATGCTGTATTTGCTCATTTTTTTATGTAGGGAGTTGAAAGTCTTTCATTGCGTAACCCAAAAAAGGCCAAATGGAGTTCACTGACTGGTATCAGATGAATGCACTTTTTCTTTCTGTGCCTGTTTCCCTGGAGCCAATTAGCTAAACCCGGACTGCTTCTCTGTAGCAGATAATCAATCATGTGTAACAACTCCAGTATGTCTAAATGGCACTGTTTCCTCTTACACACTCCAACATGCACACGTAAGGACACCAGAAACAGTGCCTAAGGTCATCCTCTGATGAATGGTGGCAGGTGTTTCACCCTAAAATCCACTGACCAAATCAATGTAATGCACTGCATCCTCAGCAGTTTTTAAAAAATTATTTGTCCCTTAGCGAGGATATTATCAGATGGTAAAAAAATCTCTTTTGGGACTTTTCAAATGCCCTCTTATCCTTTATCTTAGACCTGATCTATAGCTATTTTTGCACCATGAAACGCTTCAGTCCTGGATGTAACTATCAGTCAAAAGGTTTGAAACTTGTATGTTTCAGTGCTGTAACTTACCCTTGACTGCAAGTGTTGTGATTATGAAGCCTGGTAATGATGTGCTTCTGCTCATGGTGACGCTGTTGCGTGCAGTGCTGCAACTGCTTGTGTCTTCAAGCCCCAACACCCTCCCACCAGCACCGACACCAGCAGCAACCCCCCCACTCCATTGCCGCAGCTCCTTATCTCTACACCCGCACTCAGTCCCACCACACTCTCCCTGTCACACTCTCTTATATGTCTGTGTAAAAGTGTGTCAAGCAGGCACACACAATCTCATTACATATATCTTCAACTTTGTACAACGAATCCCCACCTCATTGTGTTCATTCAATCACAGTTTTGCTCAGCACAGCCTTATATAAAAATGAACCGTAAGTCAATGTGCTAAATGAATATTTTTGCACATTAGGAAATGAACCCCACTTATCATTTGAGATTTAGTTGAGCTACATATTCGACTCTTGTGTCTACACTGTAAAATGGAACAGATGCCTGACATCGCAGACTTACCCTTGTACCATTAGGCACCCTTATCCAAAGCACTAACAATGCAAGTTGTGTTAAACTGGGCAAGCTCCTCATGTAGGATCACCTATTCTTCGCTCATCTAAGATCCTGTTGAATATCATTGCTCTTGTTTAGATATAACCTTAAATGATCTCTTCAGTGGTCCCATGTTGTTTGATTGGACAAATAAATGAGTATTGTGCCTCTGGGGGACATTTTAGGCCAGCCGCGTTTTGTCATCTACATGGCAACCATTCAGTCTGTTGCTGCTCTGCTCCTCCAGCTGCAGCACTAGAGCTGGTCATGTGACTGACTGCTAGGTGAAAGTGGAGAGGTAATGCTCTGTGTCTTCTCTCTGAGGACTGCTGTGAGGTGTTCAGTTTCCATGGAAACACGGCTCACGTAGACCCCACGTGATGGGACTGGCATACTAAAGGAGATGGGCTGGGAATATTTGTTGGTCTAGTGTATGTTTGACTGTGAATGTGTGCTGTGAGAAAGAGATGGGGAAACAGAGAGGGAGGCAGAGGAATGATGATGTGTAAAGGTTTTCTCCATGTGTGTTACTATGGCGACACTATTATGGTACTGAGTAAGCTTCTCCTTGTCTCTCATCCTTACATCCTATTTCCTTTTCATTCAGTTTTTTCCCTTTCTCTTTCTAACCTTTTATTTCTTTGACTCTGTCTTCTCTCCTCTATGTTCCTTTCCTCTCCTCTTTTCTGTTCAGTTGCTTATCTTTCAATGCACTCAATTTCTTCTTATGCCTTTTCTTCTTATGCCAGTCTTCATCTCTTTGCATTGTTTCCTCCTCCTGATCTTTTGCTTTTATTTTACTTTTCTCTCCTCTAGTTTCAATTGTTTTATTTTGTCTTCCTTTTACCAGAGTCAAATTCCTTGTGTGTCCAACACACCTGGCCAATAAATCTGATTGTGAGTCTGATAGATGTTTTCTTTTATGTCCTTTCATGTTTTCTATCCCCCTCTCCTTGGCTCTTTTTCCTATTTATTTTTATTTTATTTTATCTTATTTTATTTCATCTCCTCATATATCTCTCATATCTCCTCTCCTCCGTTTTCCTTTCTGTTCCTTCCCTCCAATTTGATCTAATTTTCATCTTTTTGTTTTTCTTCTATTTTACCATTCACATTACCTTGTCTGCTCTCTTCTTGTCCCCTTCAAGTTCATTTCCTTTAATTTTGATTAATTTCCTCTCATCTCCCTGTGCCCCTTTTCCTTCCCCACTTTTTCAGTTTATTTCTTTACTCTACTGTAATTTCATCTAGTTTTGTTCCATTCTAATTCTCCTCTTCTTTTCTTCTGTTTCCTTATACTTCAGTTACTCTCCTCGATATTTGGTGTTTACTTGCCTCCCTATTCATTTGAATAATGTTTCTCCGGGCAGTAAATCCACATCAGGTTGTACTCCAGACAGCCAAAAGAGAAGAGGGTGATGGGAAACCTGGTCCACTGAATGGCTCCTTATTTTAGCCCTCTGGATTGCCTCCCAGCATATGCATACATGAAAACCTCATTCATAGCTTATGGTATTTATCACGCTTCCAAATTAGCTTCCACACTGAGAAATGTTGGCCAGCTGTGGCTAGTGCAGGTACCGTGCCCAAAGAATTGCAGACTTCTGTCCTGAATGGCTCACTGTATTCTGGGCTGGCATTCAGCATGATGGATGCTTTGTTATTCTAGCATTAAAGCTTTAATGTGATGGATTCTCCAGCGACAGAAGAGAAGACTGTGGAATCAATGTGGAATACATATCTTCAACTTAGCTTTTTTCCTTTTCTCTTCTCCTCCCTTATTAGTTTTTAAGTTGTATATCTAGAAAACAAAATACCTGAACATCTTGCATGTTTGTATTGGTGGTGATCAGATGTCACTTTTTCTGTGCTTTTGTCATTGCATGTACTGTATATGTATACTGTATGAGGTTTTTCCCAACCTTTAGTCACTGTTGTTACAGCAGGCTGCTAACTTCATTAGTCTGAGCTTTAGTGTTTTACTGCCCCATGATTGTCTAAACAATTCTGTTGGAGACAAAGTGAATGTGTATGTGTGTGTGCTTGTGCCTGACTGGCTGCCTGCCTGCATGTGTGTTTTCAGTGAGCTCCAGCATGTTGCACTGGGAATAAGGGAATAAGAACCTGACCTCACTGTGCAAAAATGTTGTACTGAAAAAATACACCACTCCCACTAGCAGCCCCCAAATCAATGGTTTTTACAGGTAGTTAAATATCACTTAAATGGCTATTCTGACTGCATCCAGAGAGAGGGAGAGAGAGAGGGGAAGAACAGCATAATATGCATATACTGTATATGCACATACAGTATATAAAAACACTGCTTATAGTCACCATCTGCAGACACTAAGGGTTGGTTGGAGGCCACTAGAGGCTGCTAGCAACCCAGTTTAGACCAACTGGCTGCAGAGACATAGTGGCCACAGAACAATGGATAGCATTTCCCCAATGTTTTCCAAACTGTGGTCTTTGCAGATATTATGTTAATAGAATACACACAGAGGCACACACACACACACAAACAGAGACTACACTATGTGTCAGGTTAGCCTATGGATTGAGGTAACTGTTACAGTGGAAGTGATGGAGTACAGCAGGGATCAATAAGAGTGTTTTCTCAAAATGAATTGGCTCTTAGCCCTTTATGGATCTGACTGTGGTGTGATGTAATGTGCCTGCAGCGCTGATAAAATGTTGATTCAGTGCTGTACTTTATATAGATGTTCACATGCTTATTACAAGCCTTCACACACATGCTTGGAAATGTATATATGCTTGCATGCATATTTCTGTACACACAGAGACTCCTGCAAGGCTGCAGGAAGATTTTAGAAAGCGCTGACTTTATCAATTTTATAAAATAGAAGTTTCTATAACCAAGATATTGGTCCTTGCTTATTCAATAGGAATCACATCATTTACAAGTGTAGAATTCATGTATATACAGTATATATATAGTATATAGAAGATCATGACCTCCATGGCAGGTTACCAAGACTAAGTGAAGTGCCTTCTGAAAGTCTACTAGAGGATGTGAATTCAGCACTAAGAACAATCCCTACTATGACCATCACTAACACCAACAAGCTCATATACACCACAGCAACCATGATCTTTGAGATGCTTGGCTATAAGTTCAGCAAAGACCATAAGGAGCAGTATCCTCCATGGAGAAGGAGGTTGGAAGCCAAGATCAAGGCAACACAGAGAGAAGTTAATCAGCTATCAGAACTGCAGAAAGGCGTGATGAAGAAAGGGGTACCTAACAAATACTACAAACTGTCCATGCCTGAGGTTCTAAAATTTGACAGAGGGGCTGGGCCAGGAGC